CAGGGTTTGGTCCGGCAAGCGAATGAAGAGGAATATATGTGGGGTCGGGTGGGCCAGCATGAGCCGGGTCCGACGTGACGGACATGTCTGGGCGCCTCCATATCCGCCCTATATTGGGACTGAATATGAGGGGTGCCGGTCAGCCCGGGCGTTTGAGGCCTGTTTGAGGCGTTCGTCTAGATTAAAAAATCATGACCGATCAGTGACCGGGCGAGCCGCCCGGACGTTTGAGAAGAGTTTGAGACACCCGGCTATAGATGCTCTAAACGCAGCACCAGCAGAGCCCAGCGATGGCGCAGAGCAGGGCGTATGTCGGTTTTGACTGTAAGTGGAAGGACCCATGACTTAAATTGGGGCGATGAAATAGTTGGGTGGAGGAGTGACGTTGGATGGGGGGCCTAGTAGCTTATTATATCGTCCAACAGAGAACCGGCAACGGAGAGACCCTGGATCTGCCGTTGGGCACACCACAGACACCCTAATAAACTAACGATGGCGGACTATTTTTTCGTAACCTCTTGGATGGGAGGATTTTTCCAATAACGGGATCGTTGGTAAGCTGTCGGTTAGTGTCTTCATCAATCATCATCCTCAATTATACCAGTAGCAGACTGCCATTCCACACGTTGCGCACACGAGGAATGTGGATGTACATCGGTATGAATTGTAAACCGATCGAAAACTCAGCATAATAACGCATTTCCTTAAGCAAACCCCACATTCGGACCCCTGGTGTCTATCAATCGTCTCCCGCCCTAACCCATTCAGCGCGCTCATAAATCTCCAATGATTGCCTTTCCTGTATAAAAACCAACAGCATAGGTATCCATATGTCCATCGGTAATCATCAGGCACGTACTCCTCATACTCGCTAACGGAGGCCATGGCCAGCGCGGTGAACAAGGCTCCAGCGAGCGGTGGTGCCCGGCGCGTGCTGTTGTTTCCGCTGCCGTTTCAGGGCCACATCAACCCGATGCTGCAGCTCGCCGCCGTGCTGCACGCCCGGGGCCTCCGTGTCACCGTCTTCCACTCCGCGTTCAACGCCCCGGAACCCGCGCGCCGCCCCGCGGGCTACCGCTTCGTCACCGTCGGCGCCTCAGTGCCGATCGCAGACCTCATCCCCACCGGCAGCCACGGCAACTTCGCCGAGGCGCTGCTTCGCATCAACGAGCGTCTCGAGGCGCCTTTCGAGGACAGCCTCCGCAAGTTGGTCCTCGAGGAGGAGGGAGCGCCGGCATGCCTGGTGGTAGACTCCAACCTCCGGGGGATGCAGGTGGTCGCCCACCGTCTCGGCGTGCCGACGCTGGTGCTGCGGACGGGTGCCGCCGCCTGCCTCTTGGCTTATATGGCCTTCCCGGCGCTCTGCGATAAGGGCGTCCTCCCGCCACAAGGTACCTAACTACATCAACCTAACAGACGAGAAAACAATTCAACCATGCACGGGACATTCCTCTTGGAGATCCCGGTGCATGCATGCTTAGTCTTGATCATATTGCTTTGTCATTTGTCAGCCGGTGAATCATCTTTATCGCATGCATGCATATTTTTGCCAAGGATTGCATGCTCCACCAACCACACTATTCTATTCACCCTCCCATACTTTTTCATCCAATTTTCAATTTTTAATGTATACGTCTTTTAAACTGAAAGTCTAATTCGGCTTCCTTTTGTGTTTCTTATGACAAGGACTTTGAAACAAGATCGCTCATAAATATATTTTGACAAATTTAAAATTTTGAATTCTGAAACATGGTGAAAGAAAATGTTGCACTCTAGAACTTGAAAGATAGTAATAAAATTTGAGAAGAACCAATGATAATTACAAAGTCATAATATTAGGTTTCACCTGCCAAGTTTACCAAGTACTCCCTCCATCCCATGATATAAGACGCTATTACATCCAATATGTGAACCTATAAGAGCATGTTGGATGTAATAATGTTTTATATTAGGGGACGGAGGGAGTACCATATATATGCATCAGCTTGATGCCCATTGCCACTTAATCTAACCTTATGATATACTAAGGTACACAATGAACTACAATAAGACTAGTGATTGAGACCGTATGAAACTAGCGAGGGAAAACAAGGTAACATGCATATTTTGGCAACAAATGGAAGCAAGAGGATATTCAGTTTTCCTTACAAATTGCATATTTTTTCCAGCGCTCTGTG